TGTATCCCCTCCCTCGGGGCCGTTGGAAGCCGCTGTAGAATCGGGAGCGGGCGGAGCCGAACCCTCCCCCCCGGCCCCGGAAGCGGCCGCGCGGGAAACCCCGGTCGGTGCTGCTGATCCCGGGGCGGTTCGTGCGCTTCGGGATCACCTGGAACGGGAAAACATGGAATTCTGAGGGATTTGGGAAAATTTGGGGGGATTTGGGTGAAATTCGGGCGAAATTCGGGCGAAAAACGGTGAAAATTCGGCGAAAATCGGATGAAAAATGGGGGATTTCCAAGGGATTTGGAGGAAATTTGAGGGAAAAATTAGGGAATTCTGAGGGAAATTAGGGAGATTTGGGTGAAAAATGGGGAAATTTGGGGAAAATGGGGGAAATTTGGGTGAAAAATGGGCAAGTTTGGGCGAAAATCAGTGAAAATTTAGGCGAAAATTGGATGAAAATTCATCCAAAACTGGGGGATTTAGAGGGGATTCAAGGAGAAATTGGGGAATTCTGAGGGAAAATTAAGGAGATTTGGGTGGAAAATGGGGAAATTTGGGGGAAATCGGGGAAAATTGGGTGAAAATTGGGGAAATTTGGGTGAAAATTGGGTGAAAAATGGTGAAAATTCGGCGAAAATCGGACGAAAATCAGTGAAAATTCGTTAAAAAACGGGGGATTTGGAGGGAAAATTTGGGAATTCTGAGAGTATTTGGGGGGAAAATGGGGAATTCGGGTGGAAAATCGGGGAATTTGGGGAAATTTTGGGGAATTTGGGCGAAAATTGGTGAAAATTCGGCAAAAACCAGGTGAAAATTGGTTAAAAAATGGCAGAATTAGAAGGGAATTGGGAGGGAATTGGAGGAAATTTGGGGAATTCTGAGGGAAAATTCGGGAAATTTGAGAGAAAAATGAGAGAATTTGGGTGAAAATTAGGGAATTCTGAGAGGAAATGGAAGAAATTTGGGTGAAAATCAGTGAAATTTGGGCAAAAACTGGGCACAAATTGGTTAAAAAATGGATTTGGAGTAGAATTGGGAGGGAATTCGGGGAATTCTGAGAGAAAATTCGGGAAGTTTGGGTGGAAAATGGAGAAATTTCAGAAAATATGGGGGAAAATCGGGAATGTTCAGGTGAAATTTGGGAGAAAAATGGTGAAATTTGGGCGAAATTCGGTGAAAATTCAGCGAAAATTGGACGAAAAATGGTGAAAATTGGTTAAAAAATGGGGGATTTAGAGAAGATTAAAGGGGAAATTTGAGAGGAAATTTTGGGTGAAATTTGGGGTGAAATTTGAAATGAAATTTCAAGAAATTCAAAGTGAAATTTGAGGAAATTTTGGGTGAAATTTGAGGGGAAATTTAAGATGAAATTTCAGGAAATTTGAAGTAAAATTTGAAGAAATTTCGGGTGAAATTTGAAGTGAAATTTAAGATGAAATTTCCAGGAATCTGAAGCGAAATTTGAGGAAATTTCGGGTGAAATTTGCAGTGAAATTTGAGGAAACTTCAAGAGAAATTTGAAGAAATTTGGGGTGAAATTTGAAAAAATTTGGGGTGAAATTTGGGGAGAAATTTGAGGAAATTTGGAGTGAAATTTGAGGAAGTTTGGGATGAAATTTGAGGTGAAATTTAAGACAAAATTTCAGGAAACTTGAAGTGAAATTTGAGGAAATTTTGGGTTAAATTTGAGGAGAAATTTGAGGAAATTTCGGGTAAAATTTGCAGCGAAATTTGAGAAAAAATTTCAGGAAATTTGGGGTGAAATTTGAGGAAATTTGGGTCAAATTTGAGGTAAAATTTGAAGTAAAATTTGAGGTGGAATTTGAGAAAATCTTGGGTAAAATTCGCAGTGAAATTACAGAAGAAATTTCAGGAAATTTGGGGTGAAATTTGAGGAAATTTGGGTCAAATTTGAGGTAAAATTTGAGATGAAATTTGAGGAAATTTCTGATGAAATTTGCAGTGAAATTTAAGAAGAATTTTCAGGAAACTTGGGGTGAAATTTGAGGGAATTTGGGTCAAATCTGAGGTAAAATCTGAGGTGAAATTTGAGGAAATTTGGGGTCAAATTTGGGGTGAAATTCGGGGAAAAAATCGCCAAAAAAATCACAGTAAATTTTTAAAAAATCATTAAAAAATTGGGAAAAAATCTGAAAAAAATCAGGAAAAATTGGAAAAAAATCTGAAAAAAATCGGGAAAATTCCAGGGAAAATTTTGGGAATATTCTGAGGGATTTGGGGTGGTTTTGGGGTGGTTTTTGGGGTGTTTTTACCTTGATTTGCCTCCCCCTGAAGAGCGACTCGTCGAGGGCCATCGACGTCCTCACCGACTCCTTGTCCGAGAACTCGATGTAGGCGAAGCTGGTTTGGGGCAAAAAAGGCCAAAATCAGGCAAAAAGAAGCAAAAAGGGGGGTTGGAAGTAAAAAAAACGGGATCAGGAGGTGGAAAAATGGGATTTGAGGGGAAAAAATGGGATTTTTAGGACAAAAAATGGGGATTTGAGGCTGAAAAATGGGGGGAAAAGGGAGAAAGGGGGGTGGCCAGGGGAAAGGGGGGGGGGGTTGGGGAGGGGGGGGGGCTTTGTGGAGGTGGGCGTGGCTTCTGAGAAACCAGGGTGGGAATTTGGGGTAAAAAGGGTAAAATTTGGGGAAAAAAGGGGGAAATTTGGGTGAAAAATGGGGAAATTTTGAGGGGGAAAAGGGGGAAATTTGGGCGAAAATTGGGGGAAAAAAAAGTGGAAATTTGGGCAAAAATGGGCAAAAATTTGGAGAAAAACAGGTGGAAATTTGGGTAAAACTAGGGAAAAAATGGGGGAAATTTTGGGGAAAATTGGGCAAAATTTGGTTGAAAATGGGAAAAATTTGGAGGAAAAACGGGGTGGAAATTTGGGGGGAAATCGGGTAAAATTTGGGGGAAATTGGGCAAAATTTGGGAAAAAATGGGCAAAATTTGGGGGAAAAACAGGTCAAAATTTGGGGGAAATTTGGGAAAAAATTGGGGGAAAATGAAGGAAATTTGGGGAAAAAATGGGTGGAAATTTGGAGGGAAAATGAGGAAAATTTGGGAAAAAACGGGGGAAATTTGGGCAAAAATTGAGAAAATTTTGAAGAGGCAAAAGGGAAATTTGGGGGAAAAGGACGGAAATTTTGGGGGGAAATGGGCAAAAATTGGGCGGAAAAAAAAAGAGACGAATTTTGGGCAAATGGGGGGAAAATTTGGGTCAAAATGGGCCGAAAATCTGGGCTGAATTTTGGGTGAAAATTTGGGTTAAAAGGGGCTGAAAATTGGGTGAAAATTTGGGTTAAAAGGGGCCAAAAATTGGGGCCGAATTTTGGGTGAAAATTTGGGTCAAAAGGGGCCGAAAATCTGGGCCGAATTTTGGGTGAAAATTTGGGTTAAAAGGGGCCAAAAATTGGGGGAAAATTTGGGTTAAAAGACCAAAAATTGGAGCTGAATTTTGGGTGATTGGGGGGAAATTTGGGTGAAAATTTCGGCCGAAACTGGAAGAATTTGAAGCAAATTTGGGGGGATTTTGGGGGAAATCGAGGAGGGAAATGAGGCAAAAATTGGGGGAAATTTGGGGGGATTTGGGGTAAAAATTGGGGCCGAAAATGAGGCGAAAATTGGGCGTAAAACGGTGAAAATTGGGGCAAAAATGGAGACATTTGAGTCAAATCCAGGGGGAGGGGCCTCTCAAAAGGGGGGTGTGGCCACCCAAAAAGGGGTGGAGCCTCTCAAAGGGGGTGTGGCTTCCTAAAAAGTGGGAGGAGCCTCCTCAAAGTGGGTGTGGCTTCTTTAAAAAGTGGGTGTGGCTTCCTTTTAAAAGTACGATGCTCCTCCCCAAAGTGGGTGTGGCTTCCAAATTTTCGGGGCAGAAAAACGAGGATTTCACGGCAGAAAATCGAGGGGGTTTTGAGACCAAAAATGAGGATTTTGGGGGCAGAAAAGTGATGATTTTTGGGGCAGAAAAAAGAGGATTTGGGGGTTAAAAGGTGGCGGTTTTAGGAGCCCGAAAATGAAGATTTTTAGAGCAGAAAATGAGAATTTTTGCAGTTAAAAAGTCGCAATTTTTAGAGCCCGAAAATGAAGATTTTTGGGTCTGAAAAATGAAGATTTTTGGAGCAGAAAATGAGAATTTTTGCAGTTAAAAAGTCGCCATTTTTGGAGTGGGAAAATGAGGATTTTTTGGTTAAAAACTCGCGATTTTTGGAGCCCGAAAATGAAGATTTTAGGTTGCAAAAATCACGGTTTTTGGGGCAGAAAACAAGGATTTTTGCAGTTAAAAAATCATGATTTTTGGAGCGGAAAATGAGGATTTTTTGGTTAAAAAGTGGTGATTTTAGGAGCCCGAAAATTAAGATTTTGGGTTGCAAAAATGAAGATTTTTGAGGCAGAAAATGAGAATTTTTGGGGCAGAAAAACGAGGATTTCACGGCAGAAAATCGAGGAGTTTTTGAGACTGAAAATGAGGATTTTTAGGGCAGAAAATGAGGATTTTTTTGGTTAAAAAGTCGCGATTTTTGGAGCAGAAAAATGGGGGGTTTTTGAGTTAAAAAGTGACGATATTTGGAGCCCAAAAATGAAGATTTTGTGTGGGAAAAATGAAGATTTTCGAAGCGGAAAAATGAGAATTTTTTGGTTAAAATTTGCAATTTTAGGAGCCCAAAAATGAAGATTTTTGGGGTGGAAAAACGAGGATTTCGAGGCAGAAAATCAAGGGGTTTTTGAGACCAAAAACGAGGATTTTGGGGGTTAAAAACTCGCGATTTTGGAGGCGAAAAGGGGCGGGACCCCCCCAAAAGTGGGCGTGGCCTCCCCAAAAGTGGGTGTGGCCTCCCGAAAGTGGGCGTGGCTCCCCAAAAAGTGGGCGTGGTCCCCCCCTTACCCCTTGGGGTGGCCGCTGTACTTGTCGCAGAGGATGGTGACGCGGTTGACGGAGCCGCAGCCGTGGAAATGAGCCTCCAGCTCCTCCGCCGTCGCCCCGTAATCCACCTGGAATCATTCCCGAAATTCCATGGAAAACGGCACCAAAATTGCCTGAAATTCGTCCCAAAGTTCCCTGAAATTTGCCCGAAATTCCCGTAAAATTTGCCTGAAATTCCCTTAAAATTCATCCCCAAATTGCCTGAAATTTACCTGAAATTCCCTTAAAATTGGCCCCAAATTTACCCAAATCAACCTAAAATTTACCCCAAAATTCCCCTAAAATCTGCCCCAAATTTACCCCAAAATTGACCCAAAAGTTTCCTCAAATCCCCTAAAATTTGCCCCAAAATTGCTTGAAATTTGCCTGAAATTCCCGTAAAATTTGCCCCAAAATTGTCTGAAACTTGCCTGAAATTCCCTTAAAATTTGCCCCAAAATTGCCCAGAATCGCCTGAAATTTACTCCAAATTTACCCCAAAATTGACCCAAATCCAACTAAAATTTACCCAAAATTTCCTCTAAAATCTGCCCTAAATTTACCCCAAAATTGACTCAAAACTTTCCTCAAATCCACCTAAAATTTATCCCAAAATCCACCTAAAATTTACCCCAAAATTCCCCTAAAATTTGCTCCCAAGTTTGACCGAAATTGCCTGAAATTTGCCCCAAAATTGACCCCAATCCACCTAAAATTTACCCCCAAAATTCCCTTAAAACTCGTCCCAAATTTGCCCAAAATTCCCTTAAAATTTGTCCCCAAGTTTACCCAGAATTGGCTGAAATTTGCCCCCAAATTGGCTGAAATTTGCCCGAAATTCCCGTAAAATTTGCCCCCAAATTGCCTGAAATTTGCCCCAAAATTGCCTAAAATTTGCCCGAAATTCCCGTAAAATTTGCCCCCAAATTGCCTGAAATTCCCGTAAAATTTGACCCAAAATTGCCTCAAATTTACCCCAAAATTTACCCAAATCCACTTAAAATTTACCCTGAAATTCCCCTCAAATTTGCCCCAAAATTTACCCCAAAATTGCCTAAAATTCCCATAAAATTTGCTCCCAAGTTTGCCCAAAATCGCCTGAAATTTACTTAAAATTTACCCCAAAATTGACCCAAATCGACCTAAAATTCACCCCCAAATTGACCCAAATCAACCCAAAATTTACCCCAAAATTCCCTTAAAATTTGCCCCCAAGTTGACCCAAAATTGCCTGAAATTTACCCCCAAATTGACCCAAATCCACTTAAAATTTACCCAAAAAATCCCCCCAAAATTTCTCCCCAAGTTTGTCCAGAATTGCCCGAAATTTACCCCAAAATTGACCCAAAAGTTTCCTCAAATCCACCCGAAATTAACCCCAAATTTACCCCCAAAATTGCCTCAAATTCCCTTAAAATTCGCCCCAAGTTCACCCAAAATTTATCCCAAATTTTCCCCAAAATTGCCTGAAATTCCATTAAAACTCATCTCAAATTTGCCCAAAATTCCCGTAAAATTTGCCCCAAAATTGCCTGAATTTTGCCCAAAAATTCCCCTGAAATTTGTCCCAAAATTGACCCAAAACTTCCCCCAAATCCACTTGAAATTAACCCCAAATTTACCCCAAATTCCCTTAAAATTTGCCCCAAGTTTGCCCAAAATCACCTGAAATTTACCCCAAAATTGCCCCAAATTCCCTTAAAATTTGCCCCAAAATTTACTCAAAATTACCTGAAATTTACCCCAAAATTGGCCTAAATTAGGGTGATTTTGGGGTGGTTTTGGGGTGATTTTTGGGGTGATTTTGGGGTAATTTTGGAGTGAATTTTGGGGTGTTTTTGGGGTGATTTTTGGGTGGTTTTGGGGGGATTTTTGGGGTGATTTTGGGTTGATTTTAGGGTATTTTTTGGGGTGATTTTGG